GACAAAAATAAGAAGACGGGACATCTCGCGAGCAATTCAGGATCTGAAGAAATGCGTAGAATTGTGTTTAGACTTTGTTTTTTTTTTGCGAAGAATGAACTTCTAGCTTATTTCGTCGTTCCTAATTCAAAACCATAGTTTTTAAGTTGATGAGCTTGACGAAAATGTGAACGTTCCAGATCCAAATTTAAATGAACTGTCGAAATTCAGCTTGTTAAACAAAACTGTTGGCGTTCTTTCCAAAGCACTCTTCGCAACAATAGTTTTCCCCAATTTTGATCAACAGGATCATGTCGTGTGATACATCATTGTAATCAGAAAAGAAAGACTTCAAAAATGCAAAAATCCAATATGGCGCCCATGGGAAAAAACAAAGTTGTGTGTTGTTACGTTTTGAAAAATACAATGACAGATTCAGATTCCTTGTAAAAAAGTGCCTAAAGAATCTCCCAGTCAAAAATGTCTAGGTCCTTTGGTTTCCGCTTGAAAAAATCAAAACGAAAATTATAAATTTTCGTTTTCTTCCAATAATTCAAAAACTAAAAATGACACATCGAATTTACTGGCAGATGAATGTTCAGCATGAAGATGCGCAACTTTGTCCTAATTTAACCGACCTCGTATCTCTTATAATAACTGAGATCCCTATATGGTAGAGCTCGAAAAACGGACACCCTGTATAGGCCATGATATGCTATCTCGAGGTTGTCCTTCCAAATCAGAACTGGATTGGAATTTTTGTTCGGGCGATATCTTGAATAATCTGTGTCGTAACGTTTTCAAATGAAAAACTGGGAGAATACTCCTAAATATTCTTTCAAATATAAAGTAGGTATAATACTTTTCGATGAGATCCACTAGAACTAACAGTCTCATTTCATGAGAGTCTTATACGAAAATTAAGAAGTAGTATTCTAATGATAATAAAATAAATGAAATGTATCTTCTCTTTCTCCTATACTTGAAGCAGCTTCTTGGTTTCAGTATTTTCACTAGTTAGATAGGACGGACATATTCATGTTGGTAGGTTTTTCCATACCTGCAACAAAAAAAGTTCGTCTGCTATTCTAATATAGGACAGGGGCCAAGTCATCCCAAGTTTTTATTGGTCCCAGTCACCCCAAAATGATTTTTTTCATTCTTCCTCCTCTTTACAAATACCTATGATTCATTTATTGTGAATGATGAATACTCTTCAACTTTAAGTACCTGCTTGTTCGACAAAATTTGTGAGTAAAATAAGGCGCAGAAGCAGCCTTCTCATTGCCCTTTGAAGATCTGGTTCCTGGTTTGGTTGCAAAATTCCTCCAGTTGATAGAAAGACATGGCCTGGACCCTGTTGGATATCTCTGGGTGTCAGGTTCCCCATCTTATTGATCTTACATATTGAAAAAGTTAGAGATTTAGTGCTATTTGTTGACAGCAATGGGCCTTTCCAATGATTTCCAGAGGAAATATTTCTCGAAAAATATGGCTTTGGAGTACCTTGGAATTATTTTTTTTTGTTTTTTGTTTCATCAATGCATCTTATAAAGATTACTGTAAACGCTAAAATGAACGAGTGAATTCAAACGATCAGACATGGCCGCGAAAAGTGTGACGTCAGTGCGCGAACAATTTGGATTGGTGATACCCTCACCTTGTCAATAAAATGCATAATGAACTTGACAATGTTGCCAATTCGGACAGAAAGCTATGATTAGTCGGATATTCATTTCTAGACTTTTTTCATTTAGGCAAATAATACAGATCCTGTTAGATAACTCAACTTATAATTACTCATCTGAAAATTCGTGGTACTGAAATAATGCATTGCATAATTAGTTAGAGATGGTTGATTTCTGTTGATGAATTAGAAATTGTGTGTTGAATTACAGTGGTAGTCATGACATTCAGTTTCAAATCCCTTCCAGTAAAGCACTCACCTATATAAATGCACCTACCTACCATAGGAAAAGAAACAAATTCTGATTCAATCAATATTGAATTGCTTACTTCATTCTATTTTTATTGATTTTAGTACAAGCATCACTGCCTTCTTGTCAATAATATTCAGAAGCTAGAACAGTGAATTTATGCGGGGGATAACGTATCTTCAACTTGGCAACATTGTGTAAGCGCCAGTTGTTTCATATTTTCTCTTGTAGACATAGTTGCCAGATTAGCAATAGAATTTTTCGTCCAACGAAATGTCAACATCATAACTAAAACCAAACTAAGTTTTACTGTAAAGGTATGTTCATGCTTGTACGAATTCCGCAAAATATGAATTTCTCAACAGAATTCGACGTTTATACTCATGCGGCAAAATTTACAGGCGATAAGGGTTCTGTTGTCATAAAATTTCTTCATTTCTGGTCCCACCATTGAAAGAAAATCATCAAATTGAAGGCACGTAACACGAAAGTAATTGAAATATTTATTAGTCATTCAGTCGCATTTACCAAACGAGGCTGTGATAATCTCTATACATTTTTCGGCATTTAAAAATGCTTCGATCACGGCAGCTTTTTTTTTGCTTCTGGATACATCATTAGTTCTGTTGAGACGATTCAAATGATACGTTAAAATCAAATCGTCCAGAGAATATATCCTACGAAAATAATTTAATCAAATGAAGAAATGATGACATTTTTTTATTATAATTCTGTACTTACCTGTAGTCTGGTATATCTAGTCTCGTCTTTTTGTGCGGCCTCTGCTGTTCGCTCCCTATAATTCCCCAATTTTGATGTTATCAAGATAACAACACATTTTATGCATACTGTGTGGTTATGATTCCATCCGAATTCGTTAAAAAGTTCAAATATTTCAACTTCATTGCGATATTCGCAGTCGCCATTTTATTCGCATAAATTTTGCGGAATTCGTACATGCATGAACATACCTTTAGATGCCTACATCACATTTTGGCCTACTTCCGCTAAATAGAATGTGATCAGCGGTTAATTATCAATCACCTACTACATAGTAATTTCGAATCATGACATTTTTTGCACCGTCTTGCACAAAGGAACAAATCAAGGATTTTATAGAGACCCGGCAACAGCGGCATGCTTCCGAGACGTCGCAACTCCAACCAATCGAATTGCAAGAAGACACTGGCATCACAGCTCAGTAGCGTTTGAATTCATAGGTATTGTAATTGCATTTTTTATATATCAAATAATTCATTTGTTGTTCAGTAATTTCGATAAATATGTGGTAGGGATAACGTTTTTGACATCCGTCCATAACATTATAGCCCAAAGGGGTCAAAATGTACGATACTGGAAAGGCCTATTACTGTCTTATTGAGTATCATTTGTTGAATTCATTGTTTTTTGTCTATGTCAATTAACATTAGTTGATTAAATGAAGGGTCCAAAAAATTCTTGTACTTATTTCCAATAATCAACAATTCAATAGATTTTGACAGTGACAATCGGGATTTGACAAATTTGTACCATAACCCTTGAAAATATCACGCAGATATTGCGTTCGAAGTTTCCATATGCTCAATGAGTGTGACAGAGAAAGAAGTTTTGATATTGCAAAGTCACCATTGAGCATATGGAAACTTCGAACGCAAATATTTTTGTAATCGTTTGAAATAACCCTATATCAAACCCGGTATCCTTGTATTCGTCATGGTAAAATCCCTAACCGATTATGGAAAACAATACAGGATATGTCCCATTCAAAAATCAAAATTGATGGGGTCGTTTCCGCGAAGTTGGAAGTGATAGAAGAAAAATTGATCCATCAATTTATGAGCAATTTGGTATACTTGCTACCCACCAATTTTCAGAACCCTATCTCGAATAATTCAAAATTTACAGTCCTGGCCGTTTTTTTGTGCACTTCTGACAATCAATCAACATTAAAGTCGTTTTGACTATTAATTAATGTATCGTTCCGACACAAAGTAGTTGAGAAATCTCGATTTTGAACACCCTATACCTATGAAAGCATTCCCTCTAGACCCCAAGTGTGATGTTTTGATGTAATAAGCTCTTCAGGGCGAATCTGAGAATGCGGCGATGAAATACAGGGAATTCCATTTGAAAGACCAAAATTATTGCTACTTTTCAATACAAGCTGCAATGCCGCAGTGCTGGAAATATTTTAGGACGATGTCCCCTTCGCCATTCGAAAATGTAGTTGACGTGTTCCATTTTTTTTTAATCCGGTTCTGGCGACCTATACAGAGCCTTTGTTTCGCTTTCAAATGGCCACCCTGTATGTATATCACATTATATATTAGTGTTGCATTATATTAATTGGACATATTTCAACATTCGAATCCTGAACTCAAAATATGAATATTAAGAATATTCTATCCAAATCAACTAGATATAAACTATCTATAGTAATGTTTCTCCTTTTCGAGTTATATAGGGTGTTGCCGTTTCAAGAAATTTCGATAAATAACATGTTTTTTTTTTGTTGATAAAAATTGAAGCTTCATTTGCTTAATGACCCAAAACGCCGACATAATTAATAGGTAGGTACACATTGAAATCGAAATAATTAATAAGCATATTCATGTTGAACTTGAAATGTTCAGAAAAATAATATGACTTTATTCTCGCTATGAAGAATAAAGAGTACGATTATAATATTAAAAGTATTGGACAATAGAATAATTGTGAAAAATTTGCAATTTCGTCATCAGTGGCGTAGAATTTGAAAAAAAGTATAACGATTCACTTGCCCCTGTCGTACGCCTCTGATAGTAGCGAGAAACGTTCATTTAACATGATTCAGTAGGGTGTAGGAATAGTATATCACCAAATATGACAAAAATACGTCGAAAATAGTTTAGATATAGGTACTACTAGGCACAAATAAGTTTTGAATTTTTAATTGAAAAATCCTGTAATAATTCAGACAGTTATCACATTTCATCTAGCTAATTTGCGTTAAATCTTCATATTTTGAGCTCAGGAATCTGTGGAGACCGAGCAAAATCACGTATATACTTGGAAAAATTAATTGGAAACTAATGGTAATTGAAATGAACTATGAACGAAAAGAATATTAAAACACAATGAGAATTGAAAAGTAATGAATTTGTTAAGCAAAACAGTAAAAACACAATACAAGATACAAGTCACGATGGAACTTAGATCACGAGTATCGAGTATCAGGAGAGCTCTTTACATTGGCAGTGAGTGAACAACAACGTCAATGTTTTCACATAACCACAATTTTCGAAAATTCTCGAGAAAAAAGTGACCATTTCAGTCCATACAGTAACACCCCCTGTTGCTCATACACACAACTGAGCTATAGCGAGAAGACCAGTAGTTACAGCTAACTAGATTTTTCTCCATATTTAGCAGACAATGAAAGGTACCCATATATAAATTTTAAATTATTTGAAGTGATTGGGAAGATGCAATAGTAAGTTAACGGATTATGTTTGTTCCTTAGTTTTCTTCGAGTAGTTTATATCAGCAGTTGCCAAAAACAACATCAAAAGAAGAAGAAGAAGAGATAAATATAACCTAAAATTTTCAAGTCAAAATGTTTCAAATCTGGGAGTTTTGTATAGATACCTGGCAATTTATAGTAAAATGGGATTAGATAAGTTAAAATTGATAGTTTTCGATTTAGGTAATTAGAAACAAGTCATTGATTATCATTATCAAGTCGCCTGTTTAGAAATTCCTACAAGAAAACGATTTTTGATACAATCTGAATTTCAGATTACACCCTATGGCCTTTTTGGGTTGACACTCACGTTTCCCCACCGTTCAAAAAAAGGTATGTTTTCCAATAATACCAGAGATAAATATCTGTTAATATCCTCCAAAGATTTTAATATTTCACTTTCAGGTCTGATGGAATGATTATAGATTCTGTTGGCTCAAAAATATCTTGTTACCCAGAGGTTCCAGACATTTTGAAGAGCTTGGATGAGCAAGGTTTCACCTTGGCAGTGGCATCACGTACCTCTGAAATAAAGGGGGCCAGGCAGTTGATAGAACTCTTTGGATGGGATAAATATTTCAGTTACAAGGAGATATTTCCTGGCAAAAAAGTGACCCACTTCAATAAGTATGGGATAATTGATAATTTATGGTATTCAATTTAAACAACTGATGTGCTCATTTCAGAATCAAGACTCAATCTAATGTTGATTTTTGTGACATGATATTCTTTGATGATGAACAGAGAAATATAAGGGATGTGTCTGCCTTAGGGGTCACTTCCATTTTTGTGACAAATGGAGTATGCAAGTCTGTTATAGAAGAAGGAATAAACAGATTTCAAGAAAACCGAAAATAGTTCTTATTAAGAAAAAGGTTGGTACTGATTATGCTGTCTTTTATTTGATAATAAATTTGATATAACTTATGTGGACTTGATTTGAAATTCTCCCAAATTGTTTTGGAGCCATCTTATCCAATTATCATCAACAATTTTACTAAGAGTAACTTCCTGAAAAACTTCACTCCTGCTTACTTCCTCAAAACCCATTTTCTGGAACATGTGCAAACTTATTTCATTTGCATAGGAGATTTTGACAATGAATTGTTTCACTCCCAAATAATTGATTCCATAATTGAGCATGAGTAGCATAGCTTCCCAACCACATTTTCTTCCTCTAGCCCATGATTCAGCAATCATTATTTCTGCTTCTGCACATAATCTATCATCACAATTAGCAAAAAATAAATTTGTGTCTCCAATCATTGACACTGAAAGTTGAATCAAACACTAGACTGTAAAAATAATTTGCATCTGATTACCTATTTCATTTCTGGTTTCCACATATTTATTTTTATCTAGTATTATGAAAGTGCATTCTGGAAAAAAATTAAATGTGGGAGAAAGAAGATATAATATAACATCATTTCATACTGTTTTCATCCATTGACCAGGATTTTTGCATTTCATGTTCTTCTTCCAGAGAGAGGGGCTCAGAGCCTGTCAACATTTGTAATTCTGTAGATTTCATCCATTCATGATATCTGGGAAAAAATCTTGTTTAAACACATCATGTACTTTTCTTCTCATGTTTTTAGTATTGTAGTTTACAGTAGGGCTCTGATTACTCAAATATTCCAGACCAGACTCCAGACAGAATGATTTTACTTACTTATCAACATGCTCCTTTTTGTAAGGGATTAGAACCACATTATTACCTACTATAGTTGTGTCTTTATTTATACGCATTTTCAAATTTGAAAATTATATTTCTAATTTTCTAACCCTGAAAAATTTCCAGTAAATCGTCACCGATCCCTTCTTCTTTTTTTTTTTCGTCTTATTCTTCTTCTGTTTCTTAATTTACTGACTCCTTGTTCAGAGTCTTCCCAAAGTATTCAAATCACTGGATAATGGATATCCATTTTTTTACAGGACAATGGACATTTCAGGAATATAAAAACAAAGAAAAATACGTACTAGACATTTAACATTTCTAGTTGCTTTTTTCAAAGTTTACTCAGTTTCGAAGTGATTGCGAACTATCGTCAATTGTTTTCCGCCATTTGGTTGTTCCTTCTCACGAATTGTTTGTAACTAAGATGGCCGTCCCTTGTAGCCATCTTATTTGTAACGTTCTTCAGTATACATATTCATTATTAAAGATAGTTTTGAATTTCAAATGCCATTGTGGAAGTTGCTGGTAACTATAAAATATATAAGTTATCCTATCCATATCCTATAGAAGTTTAACTTAAATATTGTAAGTAATGTGCCTAATCAGGCAAAACAAATTTCAGCAGTCCAAAAAACAACGCAAAACAAGGTCTGGTGATGATAATGTATGGATAACTTCTATATTCATTTCCAAATACGCATGTAGTGGTAATAAGTAATATACAGGGTATGTCACACTATCTCTATATCGAGAATCAGTCGGGAGAAATCCATGAAAATATATTATGCATTCTTATATTTTAGAATACGCTCCCTTCATTTGAAATATTTTCAGCAATGCAGTGTTGCCGCTTCTATAAAAAAGTAGCAACAACTTTGTTATTTCAAATTGAATACTTTGTATTTTATTCCTTTTCTTGATTCTCCCTGAAGAGCTGATTTCATCGCTACATCACACTTGTGGTCTTTCGAAAATGATTATAGAGATTTTAGGATGTTCAAAATCGAGATTTTTCAACTTCAGGACTTTTTTGTGTCGAAACTATTCATTATCTGTCAACATCATGTCCCTATCTCAACTTTTGATTCAATATTTACTGATATTTAATCGGAACAGATACAAGGTGGTTCAAGATTCAGAATTCTGATCACCCTGTATCTATACTATACATACATACTGAAAAATACTAGAACGGAATTAATTAAACACCAATTCAACTTAAACTTTATATTCAAGATATTATACAAAATAATAAGAACTAAACATACTAAAGCTGTTCATAATATTAAAATATTATAGACTATCTATCATCTCAACCTTCAGAAAGTCGTTGTAGGTCTTTAGATGACCAATAAGTATCAACTAAATCTTCCCTGTCATTTTGAGAAGAATCATCCAAAAGATCATCTAGTTCATTCCTAATAACTGAAGAATTTTCAGATAATTCAATGAATTTCTTTGAATCTGTTGAATGTTCTTTTGCTCTAGACTGTCCTCCATCAGTATTCTTCACCTTGGTAAAAGATTCATCTGGCTTGTCCTTGGGTTTGACCTTTTCCTTACAAACTTTTTTACTTCTCCCTTCACTGTCCATTCGCTCCCTAGAACCCTTTTTGGTGCCTTCAGAATGTCTGTCATTAATTTTTCTCTTTTTTCCGTCAGTCTCGTTATTTGGTTTGGAATTTGACTTTGAAGTCGAAGTCTTAGCACTATCAATAGTGATTTTTGTATCTGCAACTTCATCTTTCTTCAGCTGTATGCTCGACCTTTTGGAAGATTCCTTCTTTATATCTGGATCACTGATTTTTTGCTCTGTGTCATTATCATCTCCATTGTCAACTGGTTCATCTTTAATTTGCACTGAGCAATTGTCAACGTTTCCATTTTTTGTAAACTGAGGATCATTTTTCGAATCTGTAGCACTGGTTCTTCGTTTTTCACTATGACCTTCATTGTAACTGTTTTTTTCTTTTTTATTATGATCATCCTGATCGTCAACTGGTTCATCTTTAATCTGCACTAAACTATTCCCAACATTGTTATTTTCTGTATTCTTAGGATCCATCTTCAAATCCGTAACACTAGTTTTTCGTTTTTTATTCTGATCTTCATTTTCAATGGGCTCTTCTTTAATATGCACTAAACTATCTTTTTCAATTTTTGTATCCACCTTATCATCAGGTTCGATTTTTATCTGCTTTGAAATCACATTACTTAATGTTATATTTTCATCTTGTGGATCACTATCATCATCGATTACTATCACTTGATTGTCTTTGGGCTCAGTTTTTATGGGAACTAGGATAGCAGCGGTTTCTGTTGATTTTTCTTCAACTTCGCTCGCTTGCACAATTGTTTTGTTCAGGTTTGATGGCAAGTCTTTCTTACAAATGGTTGAAGAACTGATTTTTTCTTTATTTGCGACTTCTTCAACTTCAGATTTTGTAGCATGATGGTCTGACTTCCTCTTGGCAGTTTTTCTACTTTCATCTTCATCCTTAGTCGCTTTTCTTTTCCTCTCAGACACAGAACTTTTATTATTTGAGACTTTTTTGTCTTTCTCAGAAGCTTCTACTTCTTTACTCACAGAGTGCCGAAATCCACTCAATTCTTCTATAATAAACTCTTCTGGTAGTTTTTCTGGGACAACAACTTTTTTAATCTTCTCCAAGGCCTCAGGGGTAACGGAAGGTAGACTAATCTTTTTATGTTTTCCACCAGGCATACTTAATTTAGACGTGAAAGTTCCAAAACAATTTGCAGGTCTTAGTGTCTCCAAAACTGTTCTCAATTCCGGAGACCATCGTTTGGGAGTATTAAATATGGCGAGTATATTCGATAAACGCATCAACCCTTCAGGTGTGTTCAACCATTTCCCGGTAGTACTGTCTGGAATAATTGGATCATCTTCGTTAATTTCCATAGGAATGACGTCATCCTCTTCATCATCCGGAAACTCTGGAAGCAATCCTTTATCCTTCAAGATTAATTCTTCTGGGAATATATCAGGGACAGGGACATTTTCTTTAAGCCATTCCAACCGTTCTGGAGTTATGCTTGGAATCGTAATCCACCACGATTCCCCACCAGAAAGTTTCACTCTTTTGCGTAGCTGAATAAGTGGAGATACATTTGGACCACGCAGATCTTGGATTCGTCTCTGAAATTCATGAGACCAATTCGATGAATTTTTGTTTTGCATATGGACGTGTCTCATACGCAGCTTTTCTTTCATGGAGATAAATGGTACTGTCTTAGGAGCAGTTTTGACCGAAGCTGGTTTTGATCCAGTGTTATCCTCATCATCTGAGAACTCAACGAGTCTGCCTTCTTCTTCCAGAATGAATTCTTCAGGGTATTTATCAGGAATAGGGACATTTTCTCTTAGCCAGTCCAATTGTTCTTGGGTGATAACTGGAACTTCGATAAACCAATATTCTCCGTCAGCGATCACGACTCGTTTGTTACAAGGAGCATTAAGAGACTTAAAATTCGTACCACGCAAATCCTGGACTCGTCTCATGAATTCCCTGGACCAAAGTGCGGGATTCATGAAATTCATGTGGATGTACCTCAGACGCTGCATTTCCTTCATCGATACAAACGGTCTCAATGAATTTTCTGTTTGTGAATCAGAGTTTACTCGGTTATCTTCATCGTCAGGGAAATTCGGAAGCAAGCCTTTCTTCTCAAGGATGATTTCTTCGGGGTATTTGTCAGGAATGGGGATGGTCTTTCTCAACCAGTCCAATCTTTGTGGAGCTATCGGGGGAATTTTCACTACCCAATATTCGTTGTTGATGTTGTAGCATTTGCTATCTACTTTATGAAGGGGCACAGTATGAGTACGTAGCTCTTGTAACCGCCTCATATATTCTGGAGACCAGGCAGCTGGGTCACTGAAATTCTTGTGGATGTGACTGAGGCGCTTCAATTCCTTTTTCGAAGCTACTATGGATAGCTCTGATCCACCCACAACCTCACATGCCCTATTACCCGAAGCATCTATGGTTATATTGATAGATTTCGTGAAATTCCATAGGCTGCTTGTTAGGTCATCGTAATCGTCCGAGAAATCTGGAAGCAATCCGAATTGTTCCAGAATATTTTCTTCGGGAAACTTATCGGGAATAGAGACATTCTTTCTCAACCACTCCAATCTTTCTGAAGTCAATTCGGGTATGTTGATGAAAATTTTTTTGTCACAAAAACTTAATCTTCTGTGATGTTTAGGACCTGTGAGATTGTGGGGCCAACGGGACTGCTGTTGCATCCACTTTTCAAATTCCGGTGACCAAAAGTTAACGTCTCTGAAGTATTTGCAGATATAAGCAAGTCGTTTTCTGTTCTTTAACGGTATATTATATTCCACTTTGAAATCTGCACTGCCTCCGAAATCCTCAACATCTGAAAAGTCTATGATGGTGTCTTCTTCATCATCGGGGCATTTTAGCAACAGTCCTCGCTTTTCCAGAATGAATTCTTCGGGGTACTTTTGAGGAATCTTGACGTTCTTTTTCAACCAGTGCAACCTGTCTTGATCTATGTTGGGAATTTCTATCCAACACAATTCGTCACCGATTTCGAAGCATTTGAGATTTGGTTTATTGAGAGTCACCTTAGGATCACGCAGTTCATGCAATCGCCTAGTGAACTGCGGAGACCAAACGGTTGGATCTCTGAAATTATTGTAAATGTGGTGCAGGCGTTTCATTTCTGTTCTAGTTGCAAATCCGGATAGATCCGTTTCTGGATTATCGATAACCTCAACTTTCTTGTTACATGAAGGATCTATAGTCGCTCTAACACGCTTAGTAAACTTCCACATATCGCTGTCTAAATTGTCGTGGTCATCAGAGAAATCTGGAAGAATTCCTAGTTTTTCCAAGGTGAATTCCTCGGCAAACTTATTAGGAATAGGAATGCTTTCGGTTAACCACTTTAGCTTCTCCGGTGTTATTTTTGGAATCGTTATCCAGAAATATTTGCCTGCTATACGCAATCTACGGCGGACTTGGAGATCTAGAGATTGGGTAGAATTACGAAAGTCTTGCACCCATCTCGCCAGCTCCTGAGACCACAATGAGCTTTCGGGAAAATATTTGGTGATATATATCACCCGTTTCTTGTCTTTTAATTTGAAAATTCGATTCGTGGAAATTCCGCTTGGTTTGATGCATTCCTCGCGTTGTTTCATCTTATGTTCTTCAGGTAGTTTTTCGGTCACGTTAATGGTATTGAGAAACTTGATTAAAGAGGCAGGGACTGGTGGAATGTCGATATTCAAGATGGTGCCATCCGGTGACCTCAGTTTAAGACGATGCGGTGCATCTGCAGGTAATGAAACTGGGCGGATTTCAAACAATCTCTTCTTAAGTTCCAACGACCACGAATGCGGTGTTTTAAACTCGGATAGTACATGGAAGAAGCGTTCTTCTTCCTCTCTCGAGCTAAAGGGAGATTCATCCTCAGTTGTCTTTGCTGAAGATTGCTCATCTTGAGAAGATTTCTCTGCAGCGTCTTGTTTATCAGCTAGTTCTAGATTTGTCCTGTCGAAATCAAGCAAAAGTCCCTGCTTCTCAAGAATTAATTCCTCGGGGTATTTGCAAGGAATAGAAGGAATAGAGATGCTGTTTCTCAACCAATCCAACTTCTTTGTATCCGTTTTGGGAATTTCTATCCAACAAGGTTCCTTATCGATGGTGAGGCATTTGCGATGAGATTTATCGAGAGGGACATTAGGGTCACGTAATTCTTGCATTCGTTTCATAAATTCCGGAGACCAAACAGTGGGGTCTCTGAAATGTTTGTAGATGTGGTACAGGCGTTTCATTTCTGTTTTAGATGCGAACGCGTCTAGATACGCTGACCTCGAACGGTGTATAACCTCAAATTTCTCTTTGCCTGAAGAATCTACGATCGGTCTAATAAACTCCTCGAACTTCCATAAATCGCTGTTCAGGTCATCGTAGTCTGGCAGGAGGCCGAATTGCTGCAAAATCTCTTCTTCGGGAAACTTTTCGGGAACTGAGACATTTTCTCTCAACCATTCCAACTCTTCCGGCGTAATCCTGGGAATAATCAACCAGTAGTTTTTGCCGAATATATGGAATCGTAGACGAGTTGTGATATGTAGACGCATGTTGGGGCTACGAAAATCTTGTACCCATCTCTGGAATTCCTGGGACCACGTTGACACGAGGCTGAAGTATCTGCTGATATATACAACTCGTTTCTGGTCTTTCAATGGAAATCGACCAGTGAAAGTCACAACATCTTTGGTTGGTCCGAATTTTTCTTCGGGGAGTATTTCGGGTACCTCGATAGTATCGAGGAGCTTGATAACATCGGCAGATACCTGTGGAATGTCGATATTCAAGGTGGAACCATCCCCTGAAGTCAGTTTAAGGCGATACGGTGCATCTGCAGGTAATGAAACCGGTCGAATTGCCCACAATATTTTTTTAAGTTCCAATGACCACAAACCAGGCGATCTGAACATGGATAGTATACGGAAAAGGCGTTCTTCTTCTTCTTTCGAGCAATTCGGTGGTTTGTACTCTAACGTCACTGGTGCTGAAGACTCTTGTTTATCTTTTGGTGTTTGTTGATCAGCTGGTTCAAGATCTTTAGGGGCATCAACATTTGAAGATTCAGCTTTTTCATCAGAAAAATTGGGTAACGATCCTTGTCTTTCTAAAATTAATTCCTCTTCGTACTTCTCGGGAATGGGGACATTTTCTCTCAACCACGCCATCCGTTCTGGGGTTGTGGAAGGAATTATAAACCTCCAATTACCCTTCGGCGAATTGATTTTGATTCGTCTTCGAACACTTTTAGTTAAGGGTTCAGTGGCACCGCGAAATTCCTGGATGCGCCTCTCGAATGCCGGCGACCAAGGTTTGTCTCTGAACCGGAAATAGATGAATTTCAAGCGCTTGGCTTCTTCCTCTTGTATCCTAGCGAGTTTGTCGGCCATCTCGATTTCGGCCGTTGTGGGTTGCCCTATCTCTTCAATTGTCTCATTGGCCTCTGGAACTTCCATATCAATTGTTTCTGGGGCAACAGGTTGTTGTGCGTTTGGTGGCATTTGATATCCAGCTGACCTAAAAGTGGGATCTGGAAAAGAAGGGGGTACTGACTAAATTACAGTTCTCAACACATTGAACGGACCACTCTTGATTGAATTGATTGATTAAAATATATACGGGGTGTAAAGTAGAACCAATACACTAGCGTCAGGATTTTTTGTTGTTGAAAAATCAGTCACAGTTGAATACACTGAGGCCACAACCCAACAATCAAAAGTGCTTCACTGGACGGCGCCTTTGATATTTCAGGATCTGTTTTTTGAGATCCGCCATGTTCTTGGGTTAGCAAGCAGAGCCGATTCAGGAATGACAGGATTGTACTAACTGAATGTATTCACTTTGTGTGTAATTTATCGATACCAGTAAAATGTATTCAATTCTTACAAAATTACACTTAAACTTAATTCAATGAAAAATAGTTTACAAAAGCTAACTTTTATTTTCAGTAGGACAGGTTTGAACACAGACATTGTTAAAAATTTAAATTGATAGATTTGACCAGGTTTTCATTAGATTATTTTTTCAAGTTGTTTTTTAGAAAAACTAACTTCATGTTTTCTCAATTGCAGTTCTGCTTGGTCAATAGGTAAACAGGATATCTTCATTCAACTGACTCTGATCAGATGAGGAATGAAACCAAGTCTTAGAATTGTTTTTGCAACCTATAGCAGCGCACACATGACCTTCCCAAGTTTTTTTTGAGCACTCATGTCTATAATTACAGATGAAGCAGATGAAGAATCTATAATTGGTTTCTTATTCATAACCAAATAAGGTAGGCGCCAAAACGTATTCGAGCAGTACAACCCAAACAACAACACAACACAGCAAACATAGAATATGTACTTAAATATCTGAATATTTCACACGATAATTCCACAGCTCAGAATCCGATAAACATGTAGATAAGTAACCCAGGAAGATGGCCGACAACCTGCGCCGTTCAAATGCGCGAACCCACTTCCGCGCGAGAGATGCTATTCTGATTGTTGGGTATTCTGTGCTGAGGCTTTATCACAAGACGTTTTCGAAATTTCTTCTAAATTTGCCACAGCAAAAAATACTGGTTTTTTTCTAAACCCATGCATTTATTTGTTTCCACGCCACTCGGAGGTCTTTATTCGTCAGCAGTTTTGACATAACCTTTACTAGATATCATCTATAAAGTGCACAAAATTCCAAAATTCATTTGTTGATTACTTCCGGAAATCAATTTTGAGTACACTATGAACTAATTTCTGAAAGGATATTTCGTATGAGATGAGCCAGTGTTTGAATCTCTATCAGATTGAGTTTTTAACCAAAAATGATTTTTTCTCCATTTTTCATCCCCACTGGAGCTAAAATTTACTACTTTTTTCCCTTGTTTAATTTAACTATTTTTCCTGTAGCGAATTAAAGAAAAATTCCGAAATCGTCCCGAGATAAAGTCTCAGTGTTCATACCCTGTGTATGTATTAATGTCCTGATAGAGATGTATAGAAATTTAACTGGTGCGCTTGCTCCCTATTGAAGGTCGTTTGCAAGTTTCTCGATGGCGCCTACTCTGATAAACCTTTGATAAACATACTTGACGTGGGTAAATCTCGCTAAGCTCATCCTGGTTACAATCCATATTTCAGGAAACATATTACCGACCGATAAATATTTGGATACGTATATGATTTGGATCAGAGCAGTAAACTGATTCCTGATCAAAGGATCGAAACGTCAATATGTCAAAAATATTCTTGAGCTGAAAAAATGGTTATTTCTGAGATTGGGGTCAAGTGTTCGTTAGGGACGTGTTCCGTAGTTTCTAAATTTTGTGTATAATACCTAATCCACCATAAAAATAAGAAAATCTCTGTTCTACAACAGTATTATTTCAGTGATTTGAAATATTAGCGTGAACTGGTGTGAATAAATTCCAAGGTGAGTACCAGTAACCATATCTGCCTATTATGATTTTCGATATTGGTCTATTTCAATAGTTGATACATTCTTTGTTCTGGTTCTTCAAAGAGGAAATTCATCAGATTTCATGCTTTAAATAGGTTTATGTCATGAAAGAAGTGAAGCTTATTGAAATCGGATCGGATTTCTTGCTTCTATTTCAAATTGAAATTTTGAATGAAAATATTGAGCACAGTATTTATTCGACCACAGAACAATGATGGAAATAGATTCATTCCTCACAGAACCAAGGTTTTGAACGATTTTCTGATTATGGCGCCTCTATCGCAAATACCTGAACCCCACGTCCAAAACTCGCTTGCAATTGTTCCATATAGAGAGTTAGTCTGACGAAACAATTGAAGAGTGAGCCCACCAGTTAAATTTCTATACATCTCTGTCCTGATTATCTCTTATTATCGAAGCTATGTTTGAAATTGATAAAACATTTGATGTCGGAAACCGCAAGTGAATTGTTCAATTATTTCAGGAAATACAGGATGTCAAAAAAGTCAAATTAGGAGTGATCCATTTTATGTGTTGAGAACTGTACATAATGTAAGTGGAAGGCTAACTGTGCTACCTGTACAGAGTGTATTTAGAGTCCATCCTATACCAGATTCTAATCTGAAGATAAAGTGGGACTTCTTCAATAGAGACTGGAGTTCTGTTTCCGAAACATTGGCATCCAGCGTTTGAACGTACTGTACAATATCAGTGAAGCTTACACCAACAGGGTGAACTACCAAGTATGCAGAGATTATTCCAATCAATTTGGATTCTCGGGTGCAGAACATTTCTTCAATGGTTTTAATCTGCTGGAATCTCATGGCTTTCTTTTTGATCAACAAGTCATTTCCCATTTTCTTGTATACGCTAACCTGATTCTCTAATTCAGCGACAAGTTTTTTATTGTCTTGAAGTATGGTCTCTTTTTCTTTGGCTGATTGCATTTTGACATCGCTCAACTCTTTATTGATGTTATTGAATTTTTCTCGTTCCAAAGCAAGTTGCTGTTTTTGCTCGTTGTTTTCTTTTTCCAACTTGGAAATTTTTATATTCTCCTTCTTGCTGAACTCCTCTGTAGCCTTTTTCGCAGCTTGCAACGCAATTTTCAGTTCTTTGATTTTGGCTTCATCTTTTAAAGATTCCTCTTTGAAGAGTTTCATGGACGTTTCCATTTTTTCTATCAACTCTTCTTTCAATTTCTCCTCTTTTATTTGTTCCATTTTGTATGCTTCTATCTGAAATATGAAACCGGCTATATAAAAATAATACAAGAAAGAGAATATTATTGTTTACCCTTTTTTTAGCGGCATCTAGCTGATGCTTTAATCTGACATTCTCTCTTGCTAAGTCAACCATGGTATTGTGTTCTTTGTCCATCGGTTCTTGATCGTCATCAGACACGTCCATGTCGTCATTTTCCTTAATCAAAACTGTTTGGTTATGAGGACCGGCTTTTTTGTGTTTCTGGAAATCAATTTCATGGCAAATTGTGAACATCTGTCATGGGGAAATCCTTGTGTGACCAGAGAACGAGAAACATTGGTGAATTCTAAAAACAAATTCGGTTCTCTGATGGAGGAAGTTACCTCCAGACGAATTTGTATCAAATCAGTTTTACACTGATTAGCTTTATGTTATTTTAATCTAGAGTGCCACTGAAATGATTTACATAATTTATTTTTTCAGATTAATGCAATTATTGAGAAACCAATGACGTAACTGAGAACTAAAAGAAAATTAGAATATTGCACAACCTTAGTGAGAAACAAAGACCCAAATATCTCCTATTGGGTTTATCAATCACAATTATTGAATGTATTAACGAATATAACGAAAACAACGCATATACAAATCATAAATATGTGATCTGATAATTCTAGAACACGTGATTTTGACACGGTTTCTTCGAGAACACACAACCTATCTATAAAGTTACCTGTGAAGTGCATAGCCCTGCCCACATCCACAATATAATAACAGAGTCACCAAAAAAAATCATCAAATTCTTCCGGGTTTCAAGTAGAACGATCCCACTACTTCTGGTTTCATGTGACAAGGAGGTAAAATATTGAAACGTAACCTCACTTTTCTGTAAAATATTTAAACACAACCTCACTTTTCAAGGATTGAAATAGTTTCTCACAATATTTTGCCATACGAATCGTGTTTTTTTAGGCTATTCATCAATTCAAGCATGCCATCACAATAATCTGTTGTACAACGCACAAAAAATGCAGCGAGAGACGAAGAAATATGGTTTTTCAGGCAAATAGTGATCTCACATAGTTTTCATTATGAAATTTTGTGCCCAACATAAGCTTGTCAGGAGTAACCATACCTTTGAAGACATCAATTTCGATGCTTGGTATTGCTATCAGCAATAACCTTTCTTCAAATCTTCAAATCACGTGAGATGAATTGCTAAAAGTGCATCCCAAAAACTTGGTTTTCTGTTTCGGGCCAGGAGCTATTTCACTTCCAGTCAGCTGCTTAAGATCTATAAGGCTCAGATCCGACCTGTCCTGCAATACTGTTTCCATATACCCTGAACCTGTTGGATTCTGTCCAAAAAAGGCAATTCGTCTCGTGGGTGATGCCTCGCTCGCACACTCACTCACTTCTCTGGAACACCGTAGAAAAGTTGGCGATCTGGCTCTATTTTATATATATTTTCATGGACGATGCTCTTCTGAAATATCAACAATTAATCCTTCCTTGGCAGTCCCCGTGAGATTAACCCGTCGAGTTGAGGCTTCGCACCCCTTCGTGGTCACTTTGGAGACCTGCACAACATCTCTTTCCACCGAACAGCGAGCCTCTGGAACACATTGCCAAGGGAGATGTTCCCCGAGGCATATAACCTCCAGAAATTTAAGAAAGACGCCAATTTTTACCTTATTTCCCTTGGTTCTCACGATGTTCTCTGGACATTACAGGATATCCCTTTTCGTGGGAACCCGCACATAAAAAAATCATGCCATCACAATGTGCTGTTGTACAATGCACAAAAAATGCAGCGAGAGACGAAGGAATATGATTTTTCAGGTGAATAGTAATATAACATAGTTTTCATTATGAAATTTTGTCACTTCTCTTCTCATTAGAATCCCTTCTGTCACTTCTGTAATAGAAGCTAATACTGCTGATAGGGTGAACATGTTCCTTTCGTCTCAGAGACTAAGAACCTAGGACTGTGGCTCGATTCGGATCTTCGCTTCACTAGGCACGTAAACTCTCTGATTAAATCCTCTTACAACGTTCTCAGGCAATTGTTTCCAAATCGCGACTTACTCACCACGAACCTCAAGCTCAAACTATGTGAATCATTAATATTTTCTAAAGTCTCTTACTGTGACAGTATCTACGGACCTGCCTTAAGGCAGTCTGATTCTATGCGCCTACAACGCATTCAAAATAGCTGCTTACGCTTTTCCTTTGGGGTCCGCAAATTTGACCACATATCATCTTCTATGAGAAAATCAGGCTGGCTGAGACTAGAAGAGCTCAGAAGATTACACCTGCTAACAAACACTCATAAAGTTTTAATCACAGGAAAGCCTGTGTATCTATCGAGCAAACTTAAAACTTTTTCGAATATAAATAGGTTCGCAACACGCAACAGATCAGTCTTAGTCATTCCCAAGCACAAGTCAACAATTTTTACACGTAGTTTCTCTTATATAGCTCCGAAACTATACAACTCGCTTCCCAGTGAATATAGATCGTTCACGATCAAGAACTTCAAAAAAAGGCTGAAGTCGCTTCTTCATGCCTAGTTCTCCTCTTATGCGGTATATGGCCCACTCATCATGATATGCGACTATGGTTCTTTATATATAGTATAGGTTGACTTAATTTGTATACAAAATTTTGTTTCTCAAAAACATGATAGTCCAAGACTCCTTTTTGTATTTCTCTTAATTAATTTTGGTTATTGTAAATGTATTTTCAAGGTTGAGTTTAAAAACAGCGTAAGCTGACACTCCGCCCTTTCACTTTGATCCCACTTCGACTCACAAAATTTATATGTAATCATTTATTGTTTCCTCATTGTGAATAAAGACGCTTTATTATTATTATTTACATGTCTATAACACGCACACGATCATATTTCGTCAGCATGATAGACCAGGCCTCCCGTTTGATTGCATGAATCCAATATTCTTGCCTTCTTTTAGAAACTTCAGGAGTATTTCTATTAGCTCCTATAGCAGAAGGAATTCCAAAGAGAAATGAAAAAAATTCAATATGAAAACTATATGTGACTATAGTACTCATTTTAGATCACACCTACCTGAAAAATCGGATTTCTTCGTCTCTCGCTGCATTTTATGTGTATTGTACACCATCACAATGAGATATATGGCATGCTTGAATCAATGTATAGCCCAAAAACACGACTCCTATGTAGAAAATATGTGAAAAACTATTTCAATCCTTCGATTCCGTCGTAAATAAATAAGAAAAGTGAGGTTGTGTCTCAATGTTCAACAGAAAAGTGAGGTTGTGTTTCAATGTTTCACCTCCAGGGTCGGTCATCGTGACGCGACCTATAAACAGATAGCAAATCGCAGCTATTAGTCCAATAAATAAAGGGAAAAAGTTAACATTAATAACGAACTATTTTCATCTTCCGGTTGGAAGTAGCTCTTGGTACCTCTTTAAACTTGAGGCAAAGTTTGACTGGAAAACGCGTGCGATGGCGGAGAAAATGTCCCCAAAAGACCAGAAAGATAGGTTTTCAGCCAATATCTCCTGAAATATGGCAGTTAGAGATTTTCGGTTCAGATAAAAATTGAAGTTCAGTTAATTTTCTACAAAAATGGTCCTTATCATTTTTCTCGAAAATTTGCCCGGTTTCGAGAAAAACGGCACGAAGCGCACCTCGAATAATGAGCTTGTGTTGCATGCCGGAGAGCACAGTCCGTGTATTTACACATCGGCGGGGGGACAAATTATTCAATAAGTTTGTTGAAAATGCATATTTTCTCATGATTCAAAGTTCATGTGAAAGAGGAATTCTGCTGCTATCATACCCTGTGAATTGAGTCACGCTTGACTCTTTTGGGCATATCGGAACATGGGTCAAACTTTCTGCTCCCGGTCAATTTTGACCTCGCCAGGAATTTGTTCCTATTTTTTTGTATTGCACTAATTTACTCAAAATTCTCTTGATTATGGGTCCTCATAAGGTCCTTCGTCATCCCTGAAATTTGTATACCCTAATTTTTTTAAATTTTCATTTAATCTTTGTTTATTGAATCCCAATTTTTTGCTGTTTTTGAAGCGCGGGGAAATTTTGTGAACAACCATCAATTGAAAATTTATACATGATCCGATTGGTTTCTATGATACATCATTTGAAAGCTAAGAAGGTCTACTTTTCGATTGTGCAATTACTTTGTTAGACGAAGTCGTCCATTTTTCAATAAAATTTGAAAAAGCGGGGTCAAGGAGAAAACGCACTTTTATTTCGGTGGTTTTTTTCTCCGTGCTATTTATTTCTAACATTTTAACACCTTAACTAGTGTAACGGGGGAATTCCCACCTTTCCATCGATGTATATAAGTCATACCTTTGATATCCCGGGAAAAAACCAGTATATCTAAATGTACACGCTATAATTTATTACTTTCGTTCCTCCGTCGTTCTCCGCGTGTGTGCTCTACGTGGCGCTCGGGTCGTCTGCTACAAACCATGCGGCAACGCAGGGTATGATAGCAGCAGAATTCCTCTTTCACATGAACTTTGAATCATGAGAAAATATGCATTTTTAACAAAGTTATTGAATAATTTGTCCCGCCGATGTGTAAATACACGGACTGTGCTCTCCGGCATACAACAGAAGCTCATTATTCGAGGTGCGCTTCGTGCCGTTTTTCTCGAAACCGGTCAAATTTTCGAGAAAAATGATAAGGACCATTTTAGTAGAAAATTAACTGAACTTGAATTTTTATCTGAACTGAAAATCTCTAACTGCCATATTTTTGGAGATATTGGCTGAAAACCTATTTTCCTGGTCTTTTGGGGCCATTTTCTCCGCCATCGCACGCGTTTTCCAGTCAAACTTTGTCTCAGGTTTAATGAGGTACCAAAAGCTACTGCCAACCGGAAGATGAAAATAGTGCGTAATTAACGTTAACTTTGCCTTTTTTTTCTCCTTCATTTATTGGACTATATCTGTAAGGTTTAGTAGTAGTAGGTTAGAATTTCAGTTTGTTGCACTTTGAAAATTGAAGCTATTCATAGGAATACAACTCGTGATACTATTTTTCCTAGAAATATTCGTCGATGGAGATTCCAATGAATGACTGCGATCGGTTTTCCACATCCAAGCAAAAGACGTGGTATGCAGAAAAAATAATTATTGAGATCGGTAAACGGAAACATTAACGGACAATGGAAAAATCATCGGAAATACGGAAGTATCGGAAAAACGGTAATCTGTAATTCGGAAAAGCAATTATGCAGAAATAATCGAATAAAATAAAGCCAGTTCATTCAATATCATGGGTTTTACGGAACGGAATAATCATGAAGAACAACTCACCTGTGGAATCACTTCTCATCAAATTATTGGTAACGGTGTTGAAAAAACGAACGGATTCAGAAAAAAAATTCAATAAACACTAGTGAATTGTATCACTAAAAGTCTAACCTAAATTTGAAAAATGTAGGAACATTCCAAATTACCAACTTGTATGAGTTGGTTATAAATTGAATTTGTTTTCTTTTCAAGGCAACCGATTTCATGTTCTCGCATGCATCTTTCATATCTACGACTTGTTGGACATATACAGGGTGTTTCATCAATAATTGGGCGTGCTAGCGTGAAATGAAAATTCACTAGAAAATGAGATATTTTAATAAAATCATTTTTCTGCAACCGACACAAAAGTCGTCCATTTTGATACCAAAATTAGCTCTTAAATTGACGTTTCTATTACTGACACAAAAATAGGTATGTTGCTAGGCAACATATTTAGTTCCTAGGAGCTAAAGTTGAATTTTAGTTCCTAGGAGCTAAAGTTGAACTTTAGCTCCTAGGAACTAAAAAGGACCTACTGGACGTCATCAAGAATAAACAACATTGTGACGGTTGCTTATTTGGGTTGACACGCATACCTGATTTGTTTCCGATTTCAGCAGATTTGGCATTTCATACCCATGCTGGAGATATAAATACACCTTATTATAGTTTAGTATTGGAATTATAAACATCTCAGTTGAGTATTTTTGTTTTGATCGTGGAAGCCTTCAAGATTCAAATACTTGCTTGATATGTATTTCATTCGTTATTCTCGGGATGGATAACTTGTTTTTGAATAATCACGGCAAGCAATAGTTTTTTTTGTCTCGATATTGTTTAGCTTCATTTGATTGTCAAGTCAAACACAGTGTAGTATGGAGAGGAATAAATAATCACTATTATCATTGTTGATATGCTCACTAACCTAACATTTTCCATACGTCTTGTTCCTATAGCTGGCACGCACTGGCGCGGTATTTGCCATTAGAGCACCTGGTCCATACACAAATATGTCACTCTGTGGTTGTATTTATATTGAAACTACAATTCGAACATCCTAGAAAACCTAACCTGCTGTTAATGCAGGTAGAATATTCTCACCACATGGATTATTTGTCAATATTTGTTGCATTGCATACATATGGCACGGCATTGGTGGTTACTTCACACGTTTATTTGAGTTTATTTCGGTTGCAGAAAAAAATAGCATGTTTCATTCGGATCAAAAGTGATACTTTGTTTGACAAGCGAATTTTGCATTTGCGAGGCGGAGCGTTTAGCGAAACAATCTACTATTAGTTCCTATAGTCTTGAGTTCGGGGATCCAAAAAGGTTTTCGCCAAAAACCCAAAAACAACAATATATTCAATAATTTCGTCATGAAAAAAAATCTTCACCAATGCCACTGTGTACGTTTTGCAGTTGTAGTGATTGCTGATTAATGTAAGGCCAAAAAAAACCAAGAGAGATGTAGTACAACAAATACTTTATCATCATTATAGTTTTTTTAGGAAAACTGATTCACCCATTATTAGTACACTAAGCTTTGGTCACTACAATAAAATATACCTAAGACAAGATAAAATTAACTAATACAATGAAATTCACGTTTTTCATGGTTTTATGGTTTAGAATTTAGATAAACCAAAACATTTGACATTCTAGGTAAGTTCTTCTTGTTTAATTCAATTGCTTTTGATCATTATCGTAATGTATACGAAATAGTTCAAGCTATCAGGAATCACGAGATCATTTTCATTCGTTGAAATATAAATAAACAGTTGTTAAAATGTTTTCGATTCCATGAGGATAGTGCACGTTAGGTACAGTCGTCTCCAACGAACATGTCGCGGTTGGACGGTATGAGCGCTCTTTTTGCAGCGGCGATCAAGAGAGTCGACACCGTCCATGTGCGACATGATCTCTGAAGACGACTGTACATTTGGCATCTTGGCAATCACTCTGGTTAACGATTGATCTTCATCCTCAAAAAAAGAAGCATCTCCGTGGAATGTTCGAAGCAAATAGTAACTTCTTGTTGTTTTATATTAATATTATTGTTTCCTACACTTATCTAGTTTTCATTTCCATTATCAATGAAACACCCACTCGTATCACATTCTATTCTATTCATTTGATCGAACTGGCTTTTCAGAATTTGAGCAGTCACATACCTTCAATTCCTTTTTCCAGTCGTCCAGGTTTTTTCTCTGCGCCTTGCTGAAATGGTCCCAAACTTTCTGCTGACTAGCGGTTACGAACAAACCTTCAATATGGCCGACTGATGATGGAGAAAAGTTACTGCTAGTTAGAGGTATGGTAAATAATGTATTCATGAGATATCCATAAATAAGGCTAGTTTGTTTTTGTTTTGACCTCACTCTTCTGTGAAACATTGAAACACATCCTCACTTGTTTTAGTTGTTTAAAGAGGAATTAAAGGATTGAAATAGTTTCTCACAAAATTTTGGCATACGAATCGTGTTGTTTGCGCTATTCATTCAATTCAAGCATGCCTTCACATTGTGCTGTTGTACAAAGCACAAAAAATGCAGCGAGAGACGAAGGAATATCATTTTTCAGGTAAATAGTAATCTCACATAGTTTTCATCATGAAATGTCATTTCTCATTAAAATTCCTTCTGCCACTTCTGCAATAGAAGCTAATACTGCTAGAAGATTGAAAATGTCTACAACACACGATCATATTTGGTCAGCATGACAGACCAGTCCTCCCGTTTGATTGCATGTTTCCAATCTTCTTGCATTATTTCAGAAATTTCACGAGTATTTCTATTAGTTCCTATCGCCGAAGGAATTCCGATGAGAAATTAGAGAAATTACCAAATCTCAAGAATGAAAACTATATGTGAGTGACTATAGTAGGTACTTACTTTTAAATTATAATGTACCAACCGGATTTCTTCGTCGACCGCTACATTTTTTGTGCATTGTACAACAGCAAAATATGATGGCATGCGCGATTTAATGAATAGACGAAAAACACGATTCCTATGCCAAAATAATTGTGAAAAACTATTTCAATCACTTGTAAACAAATAATAAAAGTGGGGTTGTGTTTCAATGTTTCACCTCCAGGGTCGGTCATCTGACAGTTCTAGCACGCAACCCATCGGAGTTTTGTCAAATTCCACGTTTCTGTTCAACTATAACTAACAACTAATTTCACTACATTGAAAATAGTTTTTTGCTCACTAATTCAATCTCATATTTCTTATGGAATCCTACTCTGGGGAAATTCTAGTGATGCCCAATGTATTTTCATATTACAAAAAAAGGCTCTGAGAATTCTTGTTGGAATTGCTTACAGATTCGTGCCGAGATTCATTCATAAATCACAAAATAATGTCAGTACCTTCAACATTCATACGAGTATAGTGGAGATTCACAAAAAAGCTCCCCTGCTTCCTAAGCAATCTAGCTTACATAATCACAATCAGCAAATCACAAGAAAATTCTTATGATCTCAGATGATATAATGCTTTTTCTGTCAGTATCTAAACTATGGATATGTTTTATTTCGAGATAGTACTAAAATATTATTTTGAGAACGTAAGTGGCCACAATTATGATAAAAGGAACACACTTGCCGAACATCCACTATTGAGGGAAACGTAAATGTGTATTTTGTTTTTGATTGTTTATAATTTGTCTTTGACTGTATATTTTGTGTCTTTTATTGTAATTATTATTTTTACATTCTCTTCACCAAGATGGAATCATTTAAGACTAGCTACAAATGTATGAATGTACAATTGTACATCAAGTAGTCAATAAAACTCTACTCTACTCTGTTTTGAGCTCGCCTCGTGAATTTTATTTTCAAAACAAGGCCATTCGATTTTAGAAAACGGGATCATGAAATTTGAAATTTGTGATGAGAATTAATTTTTTTTCTATTTTGCGTATTTAATGAAGTCCCTATGACACCCAAATACGCATCGAAACAGCTTCTATCAGGACACGGTGAATTTCTTGTTTCGAAGTTGGTAATGGTAACGTCAACGTCAAACTGTCAGACACGCTAGCCTCTAGAGACAGAATGCAGAAGCATTTCATTCAATTGCCACGTTCATATCGTATGGGTAGTTGGTATGCTTACCAAGGAGATCGAACTAAATTCAGACCAAAGGCATGTTTACACCATGTATCTTCAGACTCAGACTGTGAGTTGACTTAGGCCCTCCGCACACGGGTCCATCGGCGACATGGGCGACGCGATTGCAATGACGTCACAATTTCTGCATTCGTACGATTCAAGAGACGGGAGTGTGTGTCATCCGCATATGGGTCGACGTTTTGTGTAGTCGACTCGCGTCTGATCAACTTAGTTACTTTATTTTTTGCAACTTCAAAAAGAAATGTTTCGCTAAAAATGAGCAGTTTCGATGGCGAGGAGGACATATTCATGTTTTTGTGGCACCGGCAGATCAGGAGAAGAAGAAGACAACGAAGTTTATGGGTGCATCCGTACATTGCACGAAATTTTCACACTCGACTTTTTGTTACTGCAAGTGAAATGCAAGAGAGTGACACAAAATTTCTGGCATTTTATAGAATGTCGAAGGAATCATATATTGATTTAGTGGAAACTCTTGCTCCAGCCATAAATTATATGGATTCAAATATGAGGGAATGTGTCAGCGCAGAAGAACACATACCAAAAACATTGATGTAAGATTCAAAAAATCAAACAGTTCCTAAAGTTGAGAGTATAAATTGGAAACATAAGATTATATGTTCTAGTTACTGAAAGTAAAGAACTAAGGTAGGTAACACAAATATTCACAATGATTGAAAAATTATTGAACAACTTTCTCCATTGAGACGCAAGATTCACTCGATCAAACTGCTTCCTTGCTAATCGCGTGAGACTGAAAACGAGGAGATCTTAAATCATACATTTCTAGACGACCCGTGTGCGGGATCCAGATGCTTTGCTTAGGAAGTCGAGTAGAGGGGAGACCGTCGTACGATTCGAATCGCGTCGCCCATGTCGCCGATCGACCCGTGTGCGGAGGGCCTTACGTTACCAACATTATTTTGATTTGATTATTATTTTGAGGTTAGGTTGTGGAACTCCACTTGAATTCGCGAATTAAGAATGAAATCTTTTAGTAGGATACAAAATTAGCTGACAGCTATTCGACAAAATCAAAAAGAAACAGAGCCATTTTGGAATATTCATTACGAGGTATCGCGCAGGATATAGGAAGAGAGACTACAGGTACTGATTGTCTAATACAGATGGAAACATCTCGTTAGGTCCACCCACATTTCCATTTGCCTTCATTTCGATTCACCCATACCTTTCTTCACGCGCACATTTTGATTCAGCAACAGTCTTCAAACATTCACGAACGATGCCTTATTGCTACCAAATCTGAACGATGTTGGAAAATATATGTTTTTCAAGAAGAAGGTTGATTTAAGTCGAGTTAGGTTAGATTGTTTAGAAAAAGTAGTGTCCTTTTTTATGCAGTCTTCAAACACACACGAACGATGCCTTGCTACCAAATCTGATCGATGCTGAAAAATATATTTTCTCTATGAAAGTTCATTTAAGCCGAGTTAGGTCAGATTGTTTAGAAAAAGTAGTGTCCTTCCTTATGCGCTATTTGTTCCGCACTATTTTGTCTAGCTCTGTTCAATAACAAAGCCAATTTTTTCCGGACGTTATTTCCATATATGATCGTCAGAGAAGTAGTAATTTGGGAATTGATCAACGACGAACAGTCTTCAAGAAATTGATAAGAAGGGTATTCATTCGAATCAAGTTATTGTTTGAATACTATCAGAACAAAATTTGAGGGTCGAAGATTGCGCTGATTTCAGCTATACTAAACCCGATACAACTTGGCAACCATGCATTTCCTCACCACGGAATTTTGTTTTCTGTTCACCTGTTACCATGACAACGGTTGCCATAGCAACAAATTTTCCATAACTGATTTCAGCTAAACGAAACTTGAACCAACATTTTTTCAAACAAATTGTCACTGACAAGTTACTGGATTTTTCTTTTTGACTCCCTGATAAAAAAAAATTGTTAAACGCAGTGACATTTTGGGGCAAATCATCTGAGATCTGAGAAATATACAATGACATTCTGGACTGAAAATAATTATAATTGAGCAGTTCATTCAGAATGTTGGCAAAATATAAATCGAATACTTACGAAATAATTGTTTTGTATACAATCTTGACTGGCGAATGGATGATAAATATACGAAACGTCATTTTTGTTGATATACCTACATCAGAAATTCCGGTAATATATGCGTTGACGAATGTAAGAAAAATATGACCTTGGGGAAGCTTTATCAACATTTTATAATTGAACTTACGTTGTGATGAAATAGTCCGAACTTTGCCTTTACATTCGTCTCTGGCAGTCAACAAGTCTTTGATTAATTTAATCTTTTCCTCATTCAATCTTCTAACATGTCCATTGGCATTCTGAAGGATGGAATATATTCTGTCTATGTTTCCTCTATTGCATTCGCCCTTATCAAACCAAGTCTTCACAATCTGAAATTTGGATTTCAAAGTTTTCTTTGAAAATGATGAACGAATTCCTGCAGTTCAGATCATATTTACCGGTATAACGTCGAGAAATGTGTCATTCTGTTTTATGTTTCTGTTAGCATTGGTCAATTCCAGGTCATTACAGTATATAACCGGTGGTAAAGCTGGGCTGGGTGATTTGTCTTTTCTTCTGACAGGTGCAGCTTCAGATACTTTTTTTTGTTGAGCCATTTCCCATTCTCTCAAATCGTCTTTGGCCTATAATAGTTAGAAATTAAAGATACTATAATGTTCATAAACGTGGAAATTGTATACAGTGTCTTTCATAAAGTTTTGCTTTCAGAAAGATGAGAAATGGCCTAGTCTGTCGGGGGAAGTTACATTTCTCCAAATCAATCGCTGAAAATAGGCTTGTTTGTTTGAATTTCAAAAAAGTCTACTGAGAATAGCTATTTGTTGATATAGAAATATCAGTCATTCAATAATTCGTGAATTCTCGATTGAGTTTTGGCAATATAAATATCAGCAATAAAAATTCAATTGTCTCAAAATGTCCCCTTATGATTTCATGGCTTATCGCTTATAATTTTGTGTAAATTAATTCACACTAGAGGACATTTGAATCGGTGTACGTGACAACCTCGCGCACGACTTGTAGACGTGGTCTTGTCAGTTCTCAGCATTCAGCACAATGTTGCCAAGTATCTCACATTCACATGATATTTTGTTATGGAGAATAAGAAATATTTGGACATGCTGGTTGCTCTAAAAAGTCAAGAATGAATTATAATGTCATGAGATCCTCATATTATGTTTTATTCTACGCCACAACTCAAACATCTTTTTGATAACTTGATTATAATTGGTGACTTGACAACCTTGCTTCATGAGTGGAAATAGGAGATTATCTGACAAATAACGATACATTATATTAAGACGAGATCTCTCATTGAAAAATACTCCGTATGAATTCATAATTATCTCTTTAAGAAGTAAGTATGATTTGACATGTGGACTGAAATTTCAAAGCTGAAAGCATGTCAAACTGAAAATATAACCTCACAATTTTCAGCACAGAACCACAGAATTTCTAGAATTAATTCAGTCTCACCTTTTTCTCAATACAACACCCGATGAATACAAGCTCAGTTTGGGTGAAGGGGAAGAAATAGTCTCAATAAGTTCTTAAGACAACTCACGTCAGACTAAGATACAACTGAGCTATTGAGCTGCACTGAGAATCTTGGTTGGTCTCAGTCAAAGTTGGTAAAAGAAGGTAATTTTGCACTTATCATGCGATGGGTTTTTCTTCGAAATTTTTTCTTGGTACTCACGTACATTTGTCTAAAAACACGAATTTGATAATGAAAATGTGAACAAACCATTATCTATCAAAATATTTCACTATTGAGTTACAAATTTCACCTTCTTTTCCCTCTGTCTTCTGGATTGCATTTAGAACAATTTGCCCTTATTTTTCCATCATTGGACAATTTATATATATCACAATGTACGACACATTTTTTTCTATTATATGAGTCAACTAGAAATATGATTTTCTTGTGATTTATCCATGTTGTGATTTATCCATGTTTAGTGAAACGAAGGAAGAATATAATTTAAAATAATGGCGTGTGTAATGTCATTCAAAAGCAATCTGTTGACATTTGACATCTCGTATTTGGATTGACTATTGATTTAATGGCCGTCATCTGGTATTCTTATTCACTAAATATGAAAAACTCTACCTGAAAATTATATCTCCTGTTGAATTTTCTATATAAAAATGTGTCATTGAAGTAAATCATGAGTATATAAAGTGTTCAATAACAGAATAAGAAGAGCAAGTAGCTGTAAATGCATCAAACACAAGGGTAAAAAGAAGGCGAAATTTCGACCTTTTTCTTGAAATATCTCGATAAATAGTGGTGTGTTCACATTTTCATTATAAAATTCGTGTATTTCAGACAAAAATACGTAAGTACCAAAAAATTTTTTTGAAAAAAATGACCCAAAATTACCAAAAAGAATATCACTCTTATATCAATACATGCCTTGGAATAGTCCACGAAGATGAGGCCAGTATCGTCGATAGGCCAAAGTTACATTAACGTACCTGCTATTCCTGCTAACCTACAAAATAATTCGAAAGGAATGGGAATTGCGAACATAATACATGCAACTGCATGCAACCAGCGAGACACGTATAAGTGATATTGGTTGTAGATGTGTCGTCCAGTCCATTGCCTACTAACCTTTGTTTCACGTTTATTGTCATGCATAGCACAGAATAAATAGATTGTTCTCAAAGATGGATGCTTTATGCTTCATTTTTACACTTCTTGGAGATGCGCAAGTACCAGAACATTCCCTTTGTTTTTACTTTCGTCTACTTTTCGCATATATTTTCAATGAAGAATTCTGATAAAAACGAATATTGTTTGAATAATTCTGATACAAAATTTGAAAATAACAGTTGACAGTTAATACAATTGACAGGCCAGACATGTCTCAAATTTCTGAAGCTGTAGTCGCGTTCGGTATTTACATCAAACTGCTCCGATGAATCTGAATCGTTCGTTTATGACATCTAGATGCAGGGGAAGTAGATCTCATCCGTTCGGCAAATAAAATCGGACAATCTGACAAAGATCTTAATGCTCGGAGAATTTTGACCGAGCAAAGCGATTGATCTGAATTTGTGAGATTAATGTTCAGATGTTCATGTATGACTGGCTGTTGTGCTCGTATTCGTATTTTCAAAATAACGTTTTAATAATGAAAGAAATACAACTTTTTGATTCTGAGCAAGACACAACACACCTTTATGGTGTCAAATGAGAATTATGAAGAAATTGGCACAAATAATAGATTTAATTAATGTGTTTAGATGATAAATTCAAAATTATTTTTTTTTATTTTTTATATTTTTATAGTTTCTGGTATACTCATATTGAAATGGAAATAAATATATGATATAAATAAATGGGGTTAGGTTAGATTACCGTCACACTGTCAACAAAATGTCCACTATCGTTCGTTTATTGCCGATTGCTTCGATCTATCTGTGACCACGTGACTAGAATCTGCTCTAATCTGCGATGTAAATACCGAACGTGACTTGTGTTTAATGAACTGTGTTGCCATGGTAACGTGTTTAATATTTTGAATAAATCACAGATCGTCAATCCGTGATTGATCGATCATTTAGCGTGGTACATATCCGTACGATAAATGCCATTTTAGTTATGTTGGTAGAAAAAGAATATTACTCTTGTATCAATACATGCCTTGGAATAGTCCACGAAGATAAGGCCAGTATCGTCGATATGCCGACTGTGTCCGATGGTGACCCGGCACCCGGAAAATCCCACTGCAGCGTCCACCGAATACCCCTTTTCGAATCTGACATGACAGAATTTGGAGTTCATTCTTATATCTGTGATGTTGCCGAATCTCTGGAAAATGTCTCTGATGATGATCCTGGTCATGTTCTTCGGGATTCCGCCTACGAAGATGGTCCTGCATCCCAGAGGCTTCTTTTGTACCAGAGGAAGGGAGCTTCCTTTACTAGGGGGGTGTACCTTTAATGACAATTTTCGGTTATAATAGGCCAGTAGACAATTTTTTATTTCTTAAATAGAATCATCACTCAAATACCTTTCAATTCCATATTTTTTAAGAATTTTTCGGTCGATTTTTAGATGCTAAATAATCAATAATACCACGGTAATTTTCATACGAGAAACTGACGCCACGATTTCGTAAGAAGGAGCACACCATATAGTCCAATAAATAAAGGGAAACAGTTAACATTAATTACGCACTATTTTCATCTTCCGGTTGGAAGTAGCTTTTGGTACCTCATTGAACATGAGACAAAGTTTGACTGGAAAACGCGTGTGATGGCGGAGAAAATGGCCCCAAAAGACCAGAAAGATAGGTTTTCAGCCAATATCTCCTAAAATATGGCAGTTAGAGATTTTCGGCTCAGATAAAAATTGAAGTTCAGTTAATTTTCTACAAAAATGGTCCTTATCATTTTTCTCGAAAATTTGCCCGGTTTCGAGAAAAACGGCACGAAGCGCACCTCGAATAATGAGCTTCTGTTGTATGCCGGAGAGCACAGTCCGTGTATTTACACATCGGCGGAGGGACAAATTATTCAATAACTTTGTTGAAAATGCATATTTTCTCATGATTCAAAGTTCATGTGAAAGAGGAATTCTGCTGCTATCATACCCTGTGAATTGAGTCACGCTTGACTCTTTTGGCCATATCGGAACATGGGTCAAACTTTCTGCTCCCGGTCAATTTTGACCTCGCCAGGAATTTGTTCCTATTTTTTTTGTATTGCACTAATTTACTCAAAATTTTCTTGATTATGGGTCCTCATAAGGTCCTTTGTCATCCCTGAAATTTGTATACCCTAATTTTTTCAAATTTTCATTTAATCTTTGTTTATTGAATCCCAATTTTTTGCTGTTTTTTGAGCGTGGGGAAATTTTGTGAACAACCATCAATTAAAAATTTATATATGATCCGATTGGTTTCTATGATACATCATTTGAAAGCTAAGAAGGTCTAATTTTCGATTGTGCAATTACTTTTTTAGACGAAGTCGTCCATTTTTCAATGAAATTAGAAAAAGCGGGGTCAAGAAAAAAACGCACTTTTTTTTCGGTGGTTTTTTTCTCCGTGCTCTTTATTTCTAACATTTTAACACCTTAACTAGTGTAACGGGGGAATTCCCACCTTTCCATCGATGTATATAAGTCATACCTTTGATATCCCGGGAAAAAACCAGTATATCTAAATGTACACGCTATAATTTATTACTTTCGTTCCTCCGTTGTTCGCCGTGTGTGTGCTCTACGTGGCGCTCGGGTCGTCTGCTACAAACCATGCGGCCACGCAGGGTATGATAGCAGCAGAATTCCTCTTTCACATGAACTTTGAATCATGAGAAAATATGCATTTTTAACAAAGTTATTGAATAATTTGTCCCGCCGATGTGTAAATACACGGACTGTGCTCTCCGGCATACAACACAGAAGCTCATTATTCGAGGTGCGCTTCGTGCCGTTTTTCTCGAAACCGGGCAAATTTTCGAGAAAAATGATAAGGACCATTTTTGTAGAAAATTAAACTGAACTTCAATTTTCATCTGAACCGAAAATCTCTGCTGCAACAATCCCCTACAACATAGTGAACGGCGATCTATAGTGAGTCGAGCGCTGAAGTCCATTTATACCTACTTCCGCATGTCTTGGAGAACCTATATTAGTTATCCTAACAGAAATCAGCTGTTATTGTTGCCATATCATTTGTTTATTTATTAATTACTTATATAACCTACCACTCTTGTAAAAGTGAAATTGTTCCACACTAAATAAAAGTATGTTTCTTGAAATTTATCAGTTTTCACCCCATTCTGAACTTTTGTGATAAACAAATATTCAACTGAACGAATATATATACCTACATATAAGAGACTAATTTCATAGAAATACTATATGTATTTCGTTGATGTATATTATGTACCTACCAACTTGATATCGACCTCCATTGAGGTCCTCCAGCCTTATCATTCAATATTTCGAGAAGAAATAATTTTCTAATCAATTTATCATACCCTTTTACCCACTAGTAGACGCTATACCCTCTCATACGAAAATAAAAGACAGAGAAAGATATATGGATGTACTCTTCCCAGGACTTGTGGAGGATGGAAGATGCGAGGATCCTTTATCTAAGTGAAAAACATATTCTTGTCCTTGTCTGGCAAAACATATGATTTGCTTCAAAATCGTTTGTGGTTATGTTTGATTGTTACTGCTTGTCTAGTGTCCGTACTCTAATATACAAAAAACGTCAAAACAGTAGTGCATTCACCTCACATTTAACTGTCCAGTTCCTGATAAAATTGTTATTTAGTTTTGATTCTGGAAGACTTTTCAACTTTCCCTAATATTTTGATTGTATAATATGACTTACTATATGGCAATCTTCAGTATATTTCTCAAGAACTGAGAGATAAAAGCTTTATACCTATTTTTTCATATATTATTATATGGTACCAGTTGAAATTTAAACCCCACACTTCTACATCTCAGGTGTAGATTTGTGCAGCATCAATTACCTAAAGATTATATTTTTTATCCAATAACAATTATATCAATTCACAATTATCAGTTATAAGTTGTGTTTATGCAGACAATTAACAATTATCATTTATCCAATAACAAGTATGTTTATATTTATACAGTGTGACCCATTTTTAATGGAAACACCCCTGTATCTTACTTAATCGTTGGGTAAGGATCCTGAAATTTGCTGGAGCGAGAGATATACCAAAAATGCACTCTATGACCAAGTGGAGTCATCTTCAGTAATATACACTGCTCGCCAACAACCATGGAACTACCCCAATTTCTGGAAAATCATATTAGGAGTCAAAATAGGTTTAAAATCACTTCGGATTCGGAATCAGGACACCCAATTCACTAACTATTCATATTTTTCCTGGAAAATTTTCGGTTCTGAAAAATTAAATTTCGTCGCACTTTTTACGGAAACACCTCCGTATCTTTTGCCGTGAGGCAGCTGAGGAAGCAAACTCGAGTTTATTGCCAAGTAAATCAAAAAAAATATACGACAAAGTATACGAAGAATTCGTAAGCTGGTGCGATATGACAGTGACATTAGCTTTACCACCAGCTCAATGTCTTTATCGACGCCGGGCGGTAAAGTAGTCCGCGGGCGGTAAAGTGTCACTTTACGCCCGCAAACCCGGGCGGTAAAGTGCTACTTTACGCCCGGTCGTGCATAAAATCTATAATATTTCTGTATATTTGAAGAGATATTGCAACACTGTCACTATGATGGAAACCTGTATGAAAAATAATTGCATGCAAATCAGTTTTAAAATTTTTTGGATGGGTGGAAAACAAAAAAAGTAGAGAGGGGTTCACATTAATGAAACTATCCCTGTACACAACTAGTATGCAGATGACCTTGTAGATGATGGAGGATTGGTCCATCCTGATGGAAACTAACCTCAAAACATGTCTAGGTTTCCTGTTTTTGTTACTTTTCATTATTTCTATTATTCTTGGATCTTGACCCCACTTGTGATTGCAATATCCCAAAAATGTGTAAAAAATATTATGAAAATTTGTTTTATGGTTAACTTGAATGGCTTGGAAAGGACTATATTGCCCATATTGTGTATTTTTTATTATTAATTGTCCATTTGGTTTGCATAAAGGGTAACATTTTAGGTACTCCTTACTTGATAATTGTCAATTGATGATAAATTGATGCTGCATAAATCCACACTATGTGAAATGTTGAGAGCAAACTAATTGCATTTTTCATTCCTGTTTTTTTTTCATTGCTCTTGTATTGACCTTATACCATCAAAATTGCCTCATGAAATATCATGAACTTTCAATAAATAATTTAACATAACAGTACCACACAAGAGGTGCAGTCAATTGGTGCACAGATAGGTGTGATTGGTGTAGGATAATTCCCATGATCCAGATGGTCATTCCCTGCAAAAACTGGTTCTGGTGCTGGTACTGGCATTGGTGGTAATAAGTGGGGATTCATCAAAACATCATTCACACCAAGCAGGGGGAATTCAAGACCTAAAGAAGAAAAAGTTAGATGACACTAGAAATTCATGAAAATATTTGAACTAACCCATCATGTTGGCATCCCACAAACTTATAGGAGGCAAGAGAGCATCATTTTGGATTTGTAGACCCTGGTGCAACAAAAGGTCAGGATTTTGAAGCATTACATTTGGATGCTGGTAAAACTGTCCCTGACTACTTGGCATGTTTCTTTCAGATATTTTAGGTATAGTATACTTTGAGGACTGAGAATGTCTGATCTCACTGTTTGATGTTCTTCCAGCATTCTTTGGAACATCCAAGGGTAATGGTTTATCTCTATCACTTGTGTTGAAAACATGTTCTTGTCCAGTTCCAGTAGGTTTAGCTATGTCTGTAAGGTCACTAGTAGCATATAGAGTAAAATCATTGGGGTCCCCTGTATCCGCATTCAATGAAATACATGGTTTTGCAATGTCTATACCTATGGAAATAAATATCTTATCAATCTTGGAGATCATTTTAGTATACATGGTGTTCATTACCTGTTATGTTATTTAGAGGCATAGTTCACAAAGTTAAACTTTACATTTTACTACGAATAGTACGAATTAATTCGGACTTCTTTGATTACTATTGAATACAAAATTCAAAATTATCTGTTTTCTTCTTTTGGTGAAGGTTGAGTTGAAAATGTAACATGTAACTCTTTTTACTTTACTTTACCTGACAGTTTTGACAAGTTGCGTTACGACTTGCGTGCATTGACAGACAGTACTAAAAAAATAGAGGAAGAACAAGGCCTGTGGGTTATGTGGCTAGTGTCATTGTTGGGACATTCCAGACAGAGACTGAGATCGAAATTGTGAAAACGGAAGGCAAAGAAGAATACACAAGCTTACAAGGCTCAGAGGCCGACGAGGACGTAAGAGAAAGAAAAAGAAGAGATATGGATTTTGACGTTGACAAATGACATTTAGAAATGTAGAATCACTAAAGGTAAGTTCCCAATGCAGCGTTTTTGCTTTACGCGTCTAGCGTCATGCAACCTGATTGGTGACGCTCAATTTGAACAATATTTGACGCGATGAAGTTGAAATATTTTTACCTTTTTGGCGTTGCTACTGTTGTGTTGAGGTTATGTTCCAGAAACCGAATCATTATAAATTCTTTCAACACAAGATTTTTCATGAAAATGTAGAAATTCTGGATGCAACTTCATCAAACCTCATTTCTGAGAGTAATTTCATGGTAAGTAAATCATTGCAGTATCACTGAGGTAGGTACCTACCTAATTATCTCATTTCAACTTTGCAATTTTCGTCTTTTGATGAAATACTCATCTGATGCAGCCCTGTATATCTTGCAAGCATTATCCTATATTTTCAGTATTCTCAGATATTCTCATGATTGTTCAATGCGAACTTCAACTACATCGACAATGATAGGTAATTCCATTGGGAACCGAAGCAAATAATGAAAAATAGTGCAGCAATTCTCATTTACGCGTCACCAATCAGACTACGTGACGCGAAAAGCAAAAAGCTGCATTGGGATTATTGGGAACTCACCTTAAGAGATTATAAATTGTGGAAAGAATGTTTGCTTTTTAGGTTATTGTTAATTTGTTAATAATAAATAATGTTTGTATTCATGTTTTTGATTAGTCATCTAATATAATAGTCTGTATATATCTTTGGTGTTCGCATGGAGAAGTATAGTTAATAAAAAAGTTCACAATAAAGTTCGTTCAGTTTTCTTATCCATTATCTATAAGGTCTGTTATCTTTAAATCAAGTGTTATAAAACTTTCCAACCCCCATAACATGATTTCGAAATCGGGTACTCTTAGCCAACAGTTCATCAGAAGCTTCAGCAATGGTTCACGAAGTGGATTCATATTCCGACAGCTTTTCGATTCTTTGAGCAGCACATACACCTATCTATTAGGAGATGCGGAATCAAAAACCTGTATCCTCATAGACCCAGTAGTGGAAAAAGTGATGCGAGACTATCAGCTAGTCAAAGATTTGAATTTGAAATTGATCTACGCGGTAAACACCCACATGCATGCCGATCATATTACAGGCAGCGGCCAGTTGAAAAGCCTCATCACAGAGTGCAAAAGCGTGATATCCAGCAAAAGTGGTGCCCAAGCAGATATCCACGTGGACGAAGGCGATCACATACATTTTGGAAATCGCAAACTCAAAGTTCTGAGCACTCCAGGACACACGAGCGGGTGCTGCTCCTTTTACTGTGAGGAAGAGGGAATTGCCTTCACTGGGGATGCCTTGCTGATTCGTGGGTGTGGCAGAACTGATTTTCAGGAGGGCAGCCCTGAGGTGCTGTATCAGAGTGTGCACAGCAAGCTTTTCACTTTGCCTGAGTGGACATTGCTTTATCCTGCTCATGATTACAATGGGATGATGGTGACTTCTGTGGGGGAGGAGAAGAGGTTGAATCCTAGGTTGAGCAAGAGTTTGGAGGAGTTTGTCCATATCATGAATAATCTCAAGTTGAGTTATCCTAAACAAATTGACAAGGCATTGCCTGCTAATAAAGTTTGTGGGTTGTATGGTATCCCAAAAAATGTGGAGGAAGGGTTTTAAGAGAGTTTTATCATTAACTAATTGATATTTATTGAATGAATTGCATAATTTGCTTGATTGAATGATATTCAAATTATTATGATACTATGAAATTGAACTTGAGCAAAGTACATACCTAATAGATTGTATACACTGATCAGTAAAATGCTAAGGCACCTTGGCACCAATTAAAATTCTATTTATGCACTGACCACTTGACCATCAGTGAAATTCTGAGGCCCCAATAAATACTCACTTATATTTATACACTGACCAGTGAAATGTTATGACACCAATAAAAATTAACTTCAAGTTAAACATTAGTTTTTCCTAATAATAATTTCGATTTTATCAACACCCTGTTACCCTAACAACACAGGGATGTCCTAGGTACGTCCCTTTTTTGTCCCGCGGTACAAGGACATGATTGGGACATCCAGGGGATGTCCTGCAGTGGTTGTCCAGTGAACATCCCGCCCGGTACATCCCTAGGTTTTCCTATTCGTGTCCCTGGAGTATCTGATATCCATTCACATCAGAGCAAAGTTGCAAATATTATTTTTAGATCCGGCACAACTGATTACCCCCGTATACCAAATTTCATAATTTTATGTCAAGCCGTTGCTGAAATATTCGGCCGTTCCGGTTCTTTTGGGAAACCCTGTATATATTAAAACTTCAACATGTCTATTTCTATCAATCAATCGATTCCAGGATAGAATTTGCGATTTGATAATGTAGTATAAATAATGAAGGTGGAGGTCGTAGAAATTCAAACTAACTGCGGGTATTACTTTATATTGATTATTAGCGCATTAATTTTTAGATTTATGGTATTAATATCATTATGTGTCCTAATGTAAATGTGATAATCTAGTGTAGAAGTCCGAAATGTGATGATGTAATTATATTTTAAATATATTTGTTGGAAGTAAAACCGAATTAATATTCTTGTTTTATCCTCCTATCCCTATTTTGTGAAAAGGAAGAAACAGACATTCCAAACCTAAAAGAATTCGAAGAATTTGAAGAATGTGAACAATGTGACTTGCGAAAAAAAATTTTTTCTAAACAAATTTTAAAATTTTAAATTTACAGTTACAGTTGATCTTAGATATGTACAAATGTTAGTCTCCTATGTGTCCACCTAAGCAATTTCACACAATATGTCACCTTATCTTTTACAATTCTATATATATCGAACAACGTTGTAACCAACCTCACCAAAGATGTAAGTACAAGGCATGGCCATAGTGTTTTTCAATGTGTTTGCACTCTTGAATCATCGTAGTATTCCTGATGATGGAAATAAACATTTCCGAAAGCTTGGATAAAGTTTAAAGAGTATTCCTGTTACACTGCTGCTACCCCCAATATACACTGGTTTCATATATACAGGGCTTTCATTTCAAAACTTACCAACCTGCATATCTTCTGATCTGCGAATATTACAGTTTTCGGAAAAAACAGGTCGATTTTGATATCGAGGGGGAAATAAAATGCGAGTATCAATTAAATTCTATGTTCATCCCCCTCGCCCCCAGACACCCCTACTTTGAAATCTCAAATGGCACCCCCTACTTTGAGATACATAAAATTGAAGGTCTATCAATAATCAAATCAACCAGGTGAAAAATAAATTATTTTGCATACAGGGTGGGTCATGAGGAACTGAACATACTCCTACCACGAACAGATGGCCCTGAGGGGAATACCGTATGGCTATTCAAAATGTTTTCTCCTCTTCTACAATAATATACAGAGTGATCCACAGGATTGGGCACAAAATTATATTTTTTGTCATAATTTTTCTACAATTTCTTTCAATCATTCAATTTTTTGATGAAGCATCATACGTACCTGTTCCTATAGACTGACGTATGCAAAATTGACCGTACTTGTTATCAAAGAGGTCAGTTACTGATCAAGATCATGTTGTATAGATGAACTTTTTATAAAATTCATTAAAAAAATATTTGATGTAATTTTTGTTACATTATTTGAGTTTTTCTGTTTGCCTCCATCACGAATATTCGGCAATAAGATACTGTTAAATTTTTATAAGTATTGATATCTTGTACCAGATACTTCAAAATGGTTTATTCATTACAAGAAAGAATAGCAATTATATTCATTTATGGAGCTGAAAATCGCTGTGCTAGAAGAACGACTAGAGTTTTTAATGAAAGACATCAGAAAAAGAATATTCGTCACCAGTGAGAAAATTTGAAAAAACGGGATCCGTTTGCGATGAGAAACTATCCAACCAAGAGTTCTTAATGAATCTGCTCAGATGAAAGTGTTGGGTTACTTCCCAGCGAGCACAAAAACATCTCAGAGATGTTAAAAGTACGAGATTTCGAGACATTGAACCTCCACTGCGATTTTCTGTTCACACATGAATAGAACTATTATAGAACAGAAAATGTCCGCCGCAGGCGGCAATAATTATCGAGATGTCCTTGATATGTCACAAAACTACCTTCTCCCTAGTTCTTTTTAAAGCCTTTTCATGGACACAACAAAACATTTTCAACGCGTCTTGCGCACATTAAATCGCTGTAAAAAAACATTTTCGAGGTACTTTTCTGAAGCCTTTTGTCAAAATGAACTTCTGCATTAGGATTCCATATCCCTTGAATGAAAAAATGCATTAAAAATAGATTGAACATAAAAATATTTTCTTGATATGAAATTACCTTCTTAATCGGTTTCTGAGTAGTGCTTACTACACACAGACATATAATTGGAAATAGGTTTCCCAATTTTTGAAATGTTCTCCACAATGCATAATTTTGCAACTGCGGAGAAGCTGTGTATTGATGAATTCGTACTTTCATATATTGATTACACTGAGGCACCGAACAACACATCTTGCATCTGATGGTCATTATTACAAACTCAATAAGTCTTCTAACACAATAAACTTCTCCAAATTCCTTTCTGTTCGTTAGCAGCGTGATGTAAGCGTGACACGCTGCAAACGCGAATGCCAATTGCGAACAAGAAGAACAAAATCGAAAACAAATCAGAATTCATCGTATTGTGACGTAAGCATGAGACGTTGTGGTGGGGCAAACAAAGAAAGGGCACAAAAGAACAAAAACAATACTTTCCATATCCTTCTAAGACCTCTTTGGGAAGTGCATATTACGCCTCAAAAAAACATCCTCATGCCTACATTTCTAAAACATCCCAAAACATCCCAGGGATACCTCTCAGTAGGCAAACAAATAAATGCCACAGAAGAACAAAAACAATACTTCAATATCCTTCAAAGACCTCTTTGGTCAGTGCATATTACGTCTCAAAATAACATCTTCATGCCAACATTCTCAAAACATCCCAAAACATCCCAGGGATGTTTGTGCTCGCTGGGTTAGCTATGGATTCGATGAACTCTATTCCCAAAGTGTCGAAAACTACAAATATTTTGGTTGGTTCCATACCTTTCACTTTTCTATCGATACTTCCACGGGAAATGTTCTTCGGAAATCTCTGCTATCATCCCTCCACTAGCAATACCAATCAGACGAACTAGACAAGCCCAGTCAGCACATCCTTTCGTTGTCAACCTCGAAAGATGTCGAACAGCACTTTATCAAGACTCCTCCATCCATAGAACGGCTAGGCTCTGGAATTCATTGCCTGTGGAAGTATTCCCAACAACATATTATAATCTCCAAAAGTTCAAAAAAAAATCCAATACCTATCCTCCCTAGGAACGCACGATGTTCTTTGAACATTATATGGATTCCCTTTCGTGCGCTCCAAGCGATAAAAAAAATACATAAAGTGCTGAAACTGAATACATTATTTCCATATAAAATTCAAATTCACCAGCAACTTACAGAAGACGATCATGACCGCAGAATCGAATTTTGTTAGATGTCTGGGAAGATTCAACAAGATGCCAGTATTCTTTAGCACATATGTTTCAGTGATGAATCAACGTTTTATTTGAACAGCTTTGTTAATAAACATAATTGAAGATTCTGGGACAATGAAAATCCAAACATATTTCGACAGGACCATAACTCAGTTTCCTGAGAAAATCAATTTGTGGGCTGGTATTCTGAGATTTATTGAAAAATACAATTGATCCCCTCATCATACAATCCTTAGAGTGGCAAATCGATTATCCTGAGAATATGTTGCTTACAACAAGTTCCTGAAGAATTCGAAAATAGGCTGAACTATTGTCTAGAGAATAATGAAGTACATTTTGAGCAATTGCTTTGAATACAACTCTGAAAAATTGCATTTCTTCTTAGACACGATTTGTCGAAATAAATCTTTCTAGTTGTACTATTAGGGATTTTTTTTTCACAAAAAACAATGATGGATTCTGAATCACGATCACTTGAAAAACACCTTTACTGATTTTTATTATCATTAAACACAGAGTGTCCGAAAAAACGAATTATGTTTTTTTTAATAAGTGATCAGAAAATGTAGTATCATGGTATTTTTGAGAAGAATTGATGACACATTATTATTGAGGATCACTTTGAACATATCTGTACCGATTTTCATCATTCAAAAATACGATGTGTATGAGAAAACAATTAAAAAGGAAAAGTAGGCAATATTTTCTCATAAACTCAAAAAAATATTAATTTGATTTTTCGAACACCCTGTATTTGAAGATGATGAAAATCGGTACAGGTATGTTCCAAGTGATCCTGATTCATCTTTTTATTTTGAGTGAAGAATTATCAGGATGAAAAATATTGCTTACCTATCCTTTTTAATTTTTTCTCAGACACATTGTATATTCAAATGACGAAAATTGGTACAGGTATATTCGAAATAATCCTCAATGATAATTTGTGATTATTTCTTTCTAGAAAAACCACAGAACATTTGCTGATCACCTATTTGAAGAAAATGATTCGTTTTTTCGGACACCCTGTGTTTTATGATGATGAAAATCGGTACAGGTATATTTCAAGTGGTACTGATTCAGAATC